TTGGGGGGATTATTAATATTTCAGATTGGGTTGAAAGAGTCCGACAACTATATCGCCACCCAATTTATAATTTCTGAAATTAATTTATTTAAATAAATATATATAATAGTTCAATCTTAACATTTAGACCGTAGTAACGCTTCGTATTTAAAGTAATATATTTAACATAAACGGTCTTGTTTCTAATCTTATTGTTTATAAGATTAGTTAAAAACTGCAATGCGTCTACCCAATCAGCAAACGTTTTTTAAATGTTTGTTTCTCATTAATTTTACATTCTTCACGATTCATTTTCAAAATTCATTAATTTAACGTTTGTTAATTTATTAAGATTTATTAAGTTTATTAAGATTTATTTTACATTATAATTTTTTATTTGAAATAACTAATTAAAAAAACATTGTTTAAATGTTTAAATGTTTATTTAACGTTTGTTTAATGTTTATTTTGAATTTATTTTTATTTGAAATAATGGTTCGAAAAAACACTTTTTAAACAATTGTTTAATGTTTATTTAAAAAGAAAATGTTTATTTAACATTAATTATTTAATTGAAATAATAGTTTGAAAAAACATTTTTTAAGCATTTATTCAACGTTTATGAGATGTTTATTCAACATTAATTATTCGTTTAAAATAAAAGTTAAAAAAAATATTTTTTTAAAGTTATTTAACGTTTATAAAATATTTATTTTACATTATTTATTCATCAAAAATGTGGTAATAAAAAATATTTACTTTACATTTATTTAATGTTTAGTATATGTTCCTTTTACATTAATTATTTGTTTGAAATAATAGTTTAAAGAAACATTCATTTGACATTTTTTATATAATAAATTTTTTAACGATTATATAATACATTTTTTAACGTTTATAAGATTTTTGTTATTTATTTATTTAAAATATTTCATTTACTTAAAAAAACGTTTATTTGACGTTTATCTGAAACGTTTTTTGAGTGCGAACGACAGCGTAGACTGTTATACCAAAGAACCCGAGTTCGATCCCAAAAAAAAACCGAAAAATTTTTCGAACGCTCGTAGCTCCTTTGCAGGCATTCGACGCGAATTTGATGATTATCTGCAGATTTTTAATTTAATGACATTTATTACTTCTGACAATGTTTCTGCCATTGTATCGACTTTGGCTGCGTTCAACAGAAAAAGTAGCTATGTCATTGCTGTACAATAAAATTCTTGAATAAGATCAGTTTATACAGTGAGGAATTAAGAGCAATACCAATCATATTAAAGAATTTTATAACAGTTGTCAAGCTGCTTTTTCTGCTGAACGCAGTCTTTCACACATAATATTCATCTTGTAGCGTTTATTTGTATACGTGATTCTGTTCGCAACGTATACAATTAATCGATCAGTTAAACAATTAATTCTCAGAAAAATTTTGTATACTTTTATAAAATGTTTCTCTATAAATTTATTGTGCAGTTATGAAGTGCAATGGATAAATCTTCTTAATAAATTATTTTTTCTGCATTTGATTGTAACTTTAACTCTCGCTTAGTTAAACAATTAATTAATTAGTTTAATATCTCGAGAGCTAAATCTATATTTTTCTTTATTTATTTTGATTAACTTTAACATAACTCAGTGATAGAAAAATAAATTTATACTTAACCTTACATGAAATAAATATACATAATATTTTTCTAGATTATCCGAGTATATAAGAATCATGGATGGCAAAGAAACATATGAACATTGGAACGATATTGATTCCGGTGAGGAAATCGTTATTTCTGGCATTGCTGGCAGATTTCCTGATTCAAATAATATGAAACATTTTAAAGAAAATTTATTTAATAAAATTGATCTTGTAAGAGCAGATCATAACCGATGGGATACAGGTGATTAATTCATATTTATGGTTATTAGGATAACTTCAACAATTTTTGAAATTTAATCAAAATCTGCCCTAAAATGGTTTAATATCTCAAAAAAATAATATCAGATTTTTCAGACTTTTTGAACAATTACCATGCTACTAGGGTACGATATAGGCGGAAAACACGTTTGTGGACAAATTTCGGCCGACCTTCTAATTCTTAAGCAATTTTAAATTTTCTTTTTAATTTGTTCGAAATTGAATAAGCCATAAGCCGATTTTATGTAAGTTTTATGTAAGTTACGATCAAAATAAAAATTGCCGATCTAATGAAGATAGCAAAAAAAAAATCTTAATTATATGATAACAAATATTGGATCGGCAATTTTTAATTAAACCGTAATCAAAACTTAAGCAAAATGGGTTTTTAGCTCATTCACTATCGAGCAAATTAAAATAAAAACTTTAAAATTTTTTAAGAATTAGAGCGTCCATCGAATTTTGTTCATAAGTGTTTTTTCGCATATCCGTGCCTCGATGATGTGGATTAAAATTGTTCAAAAAATTTGAAAAAATCTCTAGTGTTATTTTTTTTTAGATATTTAACGACTTTAGGAAATGTCCCGATTGAATCTCAAAAGTTTTTAAAATAACAATTACTCTAATGGTTATACATTAGACTTTTACAATTACGCCTGTTCGGTTAAGATAGTATATGTCACTATTTATTTGTCAACAAAAAAGTATATCAAATTAAAGTTTCATACAAAATGATAATCAAAAAACATAATATCCTTATGTAAATATATCTATTTTTAGATCATACCGAATTTTCACGACGTATGGGAACAATTAATGATATAGAAAAATTTGATATGGATTTTTTTGGATTATCTCCTGAGCAATCTCATACGTTTGCGCCTGAAGTAAGAATGTTATTGGAACATTCTTACGAAGCAATTATCGATGCGGGGATCAATCCAAAACAATTACAAGGAAAAAATACTGCCGTAATTATAGGAATATCAATTAGTGAAACATTGCAAAATTTGCTTTTTAAAAACACTCAGGTAAAAAAAGATATATATCAATAGAAGCGATATAAATATATATAATATATAGCGATATAAATATATATATATATATATAT